CAATATCACAGAAATTCAAACAATAAGAACAATATCACATAAATGCTTCACTCAAGAAACAGACAAATCAAACTTCTGTATACATTAAAGTGTCAACAAATCAAACTTCACTCAAGAAACATACAAATCAAGCTTCTTCATAAATTATCTCCATGAAACCAACAATCATTAATCAGCATTATATGGTCTAATCTTGTATAAACTTAACACAATAACCTTAACTCAAGAAACAGACAAATCAAGCTTCTTCATTCATTAAAACGACAACAAATCAAAATCAAACAAACAACAGTTCAAAATTTCACAAAACGAACAATCATTAATCACAATACTATAAGTTGGATAGACGGGACTAACAGATTGATGTAGTTTGAAACTGAAAAATCTTCAATTCTCTGACACTGACATTTAGCTACACCTGCAAGACAGAGGGCAAAATCTTCAATTTTCGTGAACTCAAAAATCTTCAACTAAAAATATTATGTTCCAATTCTATAGGTTTAAGCAGATTTGAACCATATAGCTAGAAACTTACTTGAACCAAAACCCTCAACAAACAACGATGATTCTCTTGCTTCTCTACGTTCTAGGTTCTCGTAGTCATCTCGTGCTTCAAACATGCGAGAAATAGAAGCGAATTGAATGAGAATGACACTGACATTCAGCTACACCTGCAAGACAGAGGGCAAAATCTTCAATTCCTGTGAACTCAAAAATTTTCAACTAAAAATATTATGTTCCAATTCCATAGGTTTAAGCAGATTTGAACCACATAGCTCGAAACTTACTTGAACCAAAACCCTCAACAAACAACGATGATTCTCTTGCTTCTCTACGTTCTAGATCCTCGTAGTCATCTCGTGCTTCAAACATGCGAGAAATAGAAGCGAATTGAATGAGAATGATGAATTTAGGGTTTATAGAAGTGAATAAGAATTAGGCGATAAGGGATACCTTCACTCACTGCAGTATAAGAAGAACGACGAGAGGGAGAAGAAATGAG